CGAGAGCTCCTAAAGGAAAGACACCAATTTGACTGGATCCCAGCACACCAAGAAGCCTACAACAAAGTCAAGGACTCCAACAGTAGTGAAGTCACTCTAACCTACTTTGATCCAAAGAAGGAGATCACCTTACAAGTTGACGCTTTGCTGAAAGGCCTGGGCGCAGCACTCTTACAAGAAAACAAGCCTGTTGCTTTTGCAAGCAAAGCACTCACTGATGTGGAAACAAGATATGCAAACATTGAACGAGAACCACTTGCTGTGGTGTATGGGTGTGAGAAGTTTCACACTTACCTGTTTGGTCACAGTTTCACTGTCAACACTGACCACCAGCCCCTTGAGAGTATTCACCTAAAACACTTGACAGCCGCACCCCCACGTCTTCAGAGGATGCCACTGAGACTGCAGCCATATGACTCTGTCATCCGCTACCAACCAGGCAAGAGGATCAAAAGCACAGATGCACTCTCCTGGTTATCACCAGAAGAAAAAGAAGCCATCCCTAGGATGAATGTCCAAGTGCACGACATCCACCCTCAATTCAGTAACAACATTCTGCAGAGAATCAGAGAACAAACTGCGTCAGACCCAGAGCTCAATGCACTGAAGGAAATGATCCAGTTTGGTTGGCTGTCAACCATCCAGCAAGTCCCAGTGCCCTTAAAGCCTTATTGGCCCTTTCGTGATGAGTTCGCTGTCGAAGATGGGATAGCCATGAAAAGTCACCGCATCATTATCTCCACTGTACTACAGAAGGAGATCTTGACAAAGTTCCATGCGGCACCCCAAGGAACTGAGAAGACAAAGCTCAGGGCCAGGATGTCTGTATACTAGAGAGGGCTAAACAAAGACATAGATGAGATAACCAAGACATGTAGCACTTGCCAGGAGCTACAGCCAAGCCAGCAAAGAGAGCCCCTGATCCTCACAGAGATGCCACAAAGGGCATGGCATACGATTGGCACAGACCTCTTTACCTTAAAGGGTTCAGAGTACCTAGTAGTCACTGATTATCACTCAAAGTATCCATTTGTTGGGCAGATACCAAGGGGACAAGGAGTCTATCTTTTTGTCGAGGGTCAAGGGTCGAGGGTCACATGTCAAGGGTCGAGGGTTGAGGGTCGAGAGTAATAATTTTTTTTTCTGAGCTTTTTTTTCAAATGTCACAAATCGTAGGAGTCGTGAATCGGAGGCTTGTCAAGCCCATTCACTACATTGAAGTGTGTTTGCTTTGTCATTGACATCAAATCTAATTTGGTAAAATGTTGGCATGACTTCCTGTCACACGATCAGTCGAACTTCTCAATAAATTTTCTGAAATACATGCTGTAACTACACTGTAACTACTAGCTATTACAAAGGAAGGTCCCAGTGGAGGAAATGTTCAAAAAAGGTCTTACCATCGCTTGTAACTGCGGGTCAATCAAAATTCAAAGTTTTGACAATTAAACTTCAAAGTTTACCCGCCCACTTGGGAACATTTTGGCGCCACTCCGCAAACACTTGAAGAGGGGCAAAGTCAGCAACGCGTACGGGCATTTTGTCTTTTGCAGTTTTGAAAATCAGAATGAATTATAGGAAATCAAGAGAGGAATTTCTGTCGGATGTCGACTGTGATCTTTTACAATATCCCAGGGAATTAAGGAAGAAAGGGTTCACCTCAACATTGTCCGCACGGTATCTAGCTGAAGATGATCTTCATTTTCTCCCTGAAGGCCACAAAAGGTAACAAAAGACTAGTCTTGAACATGATTGCTCGGCTAACAACGCCTGAGAGAGAAATAGCAGCTTGAAACATCATACAGCATCAACACAGCAGTTACAAAGCCCTGAATCAAATTTAAAATCTCCTGCACGAAAAAAGGTCTCCACGTCGGGCTGAACTGAACAATGATGCGGACGAGTATCGAGTACCGAAAACAAGCGATGTTTCTCTTTCGACAAGCAGGCGTCAGTTACTTAGCCAATGTGAAAGGTTCATCGAGGAAAAGACAGGGGCACCCAATGGATCATTTCGGTAACTTATCTGTTCGGAAGGCCTTTAATCCCCACTGATTTTCTGAAGAGAATTGTCACCTGGAACTTTCGTGATATGAGAAATTTAATGTCTGTTGTTTTCGAAGTGTAAAAAATGTCGTTTGGAGTACCGAAAAAAAGTCAGCTATCATTTTTGGAAAGGCGATAAGACCTAAGGTTTTCAGGGAATGGACAAAAAAGCCCTAATAAATTCGAGAATACTCAAGTTCCCCTAGAGTAACCGAACAGATAAATTTTTTTTTTAGTGCAATTTAAAATTAACCTACAGAGCTTTAAAAGTACTTCAGATAGCTTAAAACAGCGTTTAAAAGCATTTGAGAGAAAACGGTGGTTGGGTGCCCCTGAAAAGAGGCAAGAATTAAA